TATGTAGGTATGTATGAATGTATGTCAGTATGTATGTATGTACGCATAGTAGTCAGTAGTGTGTACTGTGTCGCCATATGTATTCATTAGTGTGGACTGTGTAGTCAGTAGTGTGCATTGTGCCGTCGTGACCGCGTTGCTGATATTGATCTAATTATCATTGAATATACCCTCCTAAATCCAACGAATTATCATTGAATATACCCTCCTAAATCCAAAAGGATTGATTGAACCTTCTTTTTTTTCATTGCTTTTAAAAACACAGTGTTTATCAAGTAGGATATGGCACATAATGATAGGAATTTCACATCCTTGACATACAATTAAAATAAACTCAAAATATCTACGACCATGTCCGCTGAAGACATTCTTCATACGATACCATCCTGGCGAAACCTTCCCAGTCATCGCTGTCACGGGTTCGCTAAATCGCTGTTGATTATGTGCTGTAAACTATTTATTATTAGCATAGGGCATTATAATAGTCTAGAAAAAACATCACCTGTTCTATATTGTGGACAATGGTACAAATACGTAGGAGCAGAGTGGGTGTTGCACATACATAATGAACCATGCTCAAAATGATCATTCCAAATAACAGTTAAATAAAGGACTTAATCAACGGATGGTACATTGTCTGTTGTGCCGCACCATGATACATCTTAGCAGCTAGTATATTTTGCTATAAACAATATCCATAGAATCTAGCTGTGACGTCCTCTGCTCACTAGACCCATGGCCTCTCTTACTACTCTGCCTATGCTAACACTACATCCATAGAATCTAGCTGTGATATTCTCTGACCGCTAGACCCATAGCCACACTCACCATCCCGCCTATGCCAGATACATCATCCATATAATCAAGCAGTGGCGTCCTCTGCCCACTAGACCCATAGCCTACCTCACCATTCTTTGCAGCGTGTAATTGTACTAATTTGGTAGTCTTCACCCTGTAATACAAGTGCTTCTTGTTTCGTCATCTTTTTCAGAAATAGGGAGAAAAGCACAAAGAAGAACTATTGCCGCACTTGTAGACTGTACATTGATACTGTATCGTCTTACCTTTCGACATGCCGAATCGTGCGACATCGTTATTTCAATTGCCAAAGCAAGCGCAAGGTGCAGCTACTCTACCTCAACCTCACCAACTATGGTATAGCAACGTACCATTGTCTGTTCAGAAACATTTATTGAAGCATTTCAAGTCTTCGATGACTTCATACACCATAATTCTTTCAGGAAACTCGAGGATACTTAGCACAGACTGGCATTCGGTATAAATACATCAACTTGAATTGTCTTTTATACACTGATGTTCTGTATTACAATTTCCAACATATTGCCGTAATCGAAAAAGAATGTGCACGAGTCGAAAGAAACCGCATTGACTCTTGATTATATTATATATAATTATAATC